TCCTTATTCCATTTTCCTTATCCTAAACCAATTTGACCTCTCACATCAAGCTACCTATAATCTTTTTTAACAAACACAATTTAAAAATTTGAAATCCTAATTTTATCTTCAATTTCATCCCTTTACTGTTGGCCGTTGACTGGCCCATTTTTTTATTATTGTTGTAGCATAATTTGAATTTCTAATTACTTTATTTGAAATCCTATTTTTCTTATTTTTTATTTTTTTATTTTATTATTAACAACTTTTGATCAACATTAATGTTTGGTCTATTTGATTGTTGAAATCAAAATTGTACGTTTTCGGTCTTCATGTGTTGACAACTAATTTACGAAAACAGTGGAGGATTTCTCTAAAATTCGAACATAAAATAACATTGATAGGTAAAACATAATTATGATTCTTTTATATATGTACTTTAGGGGTATTTTTGGAACTCAATTTGGTGGAACGAGTTAGAAAAATAGTATTAGTAGATAACCTACATTAAATCGGACGGATTTGATTAAAATTAGCACTTTTAGAAAAAAATAACCGGGCTATAGTATTGATACTATAAGTGTAATTTCGAAAAAAATGGAATTATTTTTAAACATTATACCAGACGGGAAATTGGAATTTCATATATATTCCAATTAAAAAAAAAATTCGGAAAAATCATAGTCAAATTTTTCGGAATTCAAACAAAAAATATATTATTTCAAAATCAAATATTTCAAGGTCAAAATCGAAAAAAAATAGAAATCGGAAATTTTGTTCTAATTACAATAGAACTTCGCTTAAATAATAGTTTCTATCGGTCCGAACTCAATAAAAACAAGTTAAATTATTAACTTAATAATTTTAATAATTTCCTAAATTAATAAAAATTTCCTAGTGCAGAATGAATTAGTTTATAGATATTTTTAACTAGTGTGATTTAAATTGGAATCTCGTATCTCTAGCAAATCTTTTCTATATAAAAACTTAGTCGACAGGTAATTATAAGAGAATCCTCACATAGCAAGAAACCTAGTAGTAGAGAGAGACAAGAATTCTTCTCTCTCTAGAAATAAGAGAACGAAGAGGAGAAAAAGAAAACACCATATATACATCCTCCTTTCTATTAATTCAATTCATTATTCATTATTTGATTAAATCGCAAAACCCGAGAGACAAGAATTCTCTCTCACGAAGAGTAGAAAAAAACACTATATATATACATCCTCCGTTTTTATTAATTCAATTCATTATTCATTGTTTGATTTTTTGTATTCTTTGATTAAATCGCAAAACCCCTGAATACCTAATTTTTTCCCCCAATTCCCATATCATTTAATTTAATGGCAATGGCTACTACCGCCACGGTGAATATTGTTGTGAAACCTCCTCCTTCGTCAATCCCTTGTTTTGGTTCTCTGACGAAAGAAATCCGCGCTCAAATTGAAGAAATTCAGAGTGATTGTGGCTTAAAGGAGCCGCCAGCTTGGAACAAGCCTTCAGATGTGGTGGGGGTGGCCGCCCCCGAAGTTGCTGCTCCTGTTATGGGTGATGTATTCTGGCCTGATCTCTCCGAATCCCTCAAATCTCTCCCCCATGGATCAATCACTATCACTAAACCAGAGGTTTGTTTCTCACTCATCTTGTCATTAAAAGTTCTTTTTTTTTTTTAAATTTTAATTGCATGTTTGTGATCATTTACCTATAAATTAAATTTTCTGCATTGTCTATCAATAGGGAATGGCAGCAGGATCTCCGTCTTCGAAGAAAGAAGAAGATGGTACTACTAGTGCATCGGCCCCGAATTCGGTGAAGCAGCGTAGCGGTGGTTCGAATCAGAGCAGTAAGCAGGCTAATAATGGTAGCTTATACCAACCGCCGCCGCCGCCAGCACAAGGTGCTATTATTGGGGGTGCCCCTCTTACAAATTCCGGCGGCGGTGGTTCTTTTCCTATGGAATCTAATAGGGAGAACACGTATAGAGACGGTGGAGTTAATAGGGAGAACACGTATAGAGACGGTGGAGTTGGATTTACGTCTTATAGGAATATCGGTGGGCCCCGCCCTCCTCCTCCTCTTCCTCAACGAAGCTATGGAATCCAACACAGAGGAGTTAGGCCGCCCTTTATCCGTGGACCACCACCTCCAATTGCGCCTTTCGTTCCACCTCCGCCGCCCCCTCCTCCTTTTGGTCCCCGACCCATTGTTAACCCCATGGTTTATCAAGGTGAATTTGCTGTTTTTTTATGGAAAATTTGATTTCATTGATGTTGTTCTTTTTGCTGATGTTTTGATGCATCTTGCAGATGTGCCACCGCCACCGCCGCCGCCGCCGCATTTTTACTATGTATCTGGTGGACCTCCTCCTCGTCAAGATTTCTTCAGGCCCATGCCCATGCGTATGCCTATGCTTCCATTTCCACCGATGTTTTTCCCAGTGCAAAAACCTGGCGTATCGTCCCAGATCTTGAAGCAGATAGAGTATTATTTTAGGTATTGGAATGACGTGGTCCTAGCCTTTCATTACGTGTTTTTCTACTGCAATTTTTGTTATTTCGTGTTTATTTGTTTGTTTGTTTGTTGCAGTAATGACAATTTGGTGAAGGACATTTTCTTGCGCCAGAATATGGATGCCGAGGGATGGGTTCCTATCAAGCTAATTGCAGGATTCAGAAAAGTAAGTCTACGAACTGATGAGCGTTACGATTTAATGTCTTTGATTTATACATGATATGTGATAGATGTAATCTGTAATGAATTCAAAATGCATGTTTTGATTGTTTTTTTTTTTTTTTTGTTTTTCACCTAGGTTGTATGAATTTGAATGATTTTCCTATGCCCAAAAGATCAATGCATTTCTTTGCTACTTATACCTGGATAGTTGGCCTAGTAATTTCCATTTGAAAGAAATATAGAAAGTTAGCTTGTTTGTTACCTGAACTCTGAAAATGAAACTCATCTTAAATCTATTTTACCAATTTATTACCAATTCTGTAAAAAAAAAGAGAGCCTACTTTTTTACATAGATAACTTAGAGGACCAATGCAACACTCTATTGATAGATTAAGTTTGAATCCACAGTTGACTGTAACGCCGAAAGTTTCTTAGTAGGATTTTCATTAATCTTCGTAGTGTTTTTGTACAACTCCTTTATTACAACATCCGGTTCAGTTATATTTTCTTTCAATAAGAAAAATCACTAAATGATTTGACTTTTTTTTTCTTTATGCTCCTCGTTATCTAATATTCTTGTTTTGATAGTTACGAACAATAATTTTCTTGCCATTTTTTTTTTACAGGTGATGCAGCTGACAGACAATATTCAGCTTATAAAGGATTCCATGCAACCATCGAATGTGGTGGAAGTGCAGGTATTTGAAAAATATATGTTCTTTAGATTCTTCCTAATTGATTGAAAAATATATGTTCTTTAGATTCTTCAGTACAGATAATTATCTTATTGGTGGTCTCGTTGCAATCTTATTTATTGGTTAGTGGTTTGTAGTTAGTTATAATTTTTTATCCTTTGTTTGTAGGCTGATAAATTAAGGCGTAGAAACGATTGGAGCAAATGGATAATACTTTCGACATAGTGAATGAAAAAACGATTGGAGCAGATGGTTGCTGCCTGCTCAGTCTACTTCGATATAGGGAATGACTCTTCGATATAGGGAATGACTCGCTCTCTCTGCACAGTTTGTTTTTTTTTTTTTTTTTTTTTTTTTTTTAATTTAAGATCAAAGATGTCAACTTTTGGTGCATTTTGTTCTTAATGTGCGATGGATATTAACAGTAGAAGATGGATACTAACAGTAGAAGAATAGAGTTGAAAAAAGTGGGTCCGTTTTTGGGTTGGTGTTTACTGCCGTTTTTGGGTTGTTGTTTACTGCCGGGAGTTTTGTTGGATTTGGTTCTGCGAAAAGGTGGAGGTGGAAAGTCGAGTGCTATGCGGTAGCGGTCTATTTTAGCTACGCGAGGAAAGTTTTAAGTTTTGTTTTTTGTTTTGGGTCGATTTTTATTTATTTTTCATGTTCATGTGATGAATATTCAAGTGATTATGACATGTACGTCAGGAAAGGTTTTGGGTCGCTTTTTGTTTTGGGTCGATTTTTATTTATTTTTCATGTTCATGTGATGAATATTCAAGTGATTATGACATGATTAAGTTGCTTTCCGTCGTGGTTATGTATTTTTAAAAATTGAACGAATTTTTTAAATAATAAATAAATTCAATGAAAAATTAGCTCTAATTTTGTTCTAAAAATTCAGGATTGCCTAAGTTTGAATGATTTTTTTTGTGTTTTTTATAGGTTTTTTTTTTTAATTTATTTATTTGTTGTAGTGTTAAATACAATTTACACCCCTGAAAAGTATACCTTTTGTAATACTTAGTTATTTACCTCCTAAAGTATTAGGGTCCGAGAGGGTTGTACTTCTCGGACCATAACCAACCAATTAAATCATGCCACCATAACCAACCAATTAAATCATGCCACGTATGATTAGTACGTACCCTATAATAAAAGGTACGAACCCTGTGTTACAGGTAAAATTACATAAAAACCCCTTGTAATTAAACTTAGAAATATAATTAGAAAAATCAATAATTCAAAAGTTAATTACATATTAAATTTTAAAATCATTAAATGAAAATTTTCTAACACAACTTATTATTTCACTAATCATCAATCGTTTAATCATTTAACCTAATCTCCCCAATCGGTTTCTTTTCATCATCCTCACCATCATCGATATTTCCTCTTGAAAGGACTATATCGATCGTTCATCTCAAAAAAAAAAAAAAAATCATTAACGATCTTTTCCTCCATTAATCATCAATCAGTCAAGGGACAATGTTTCTTCTCTGTGAAACAAGAAAGTTAAGGACTAAACTTTTGATTTTTGTTTGTTTAGCAATTTTCTCTTGCGCAACTTTGTTGCTACTTATTATTATTCAGAGATTTAAACTTCAAGAAAGAAATATGATGTAATCTTGTTCCATATGCCACATAAGTCAGTAGAGAGGATAACTTTGAACCCAAAACTGCTCTAATTGATAAGAAACTGGAATATCTTCAATATATGATTAGAAAGCTCCGAAAATCTAGCTTTTAACAAAAAAAGTGGTTTACAAAAAAAACAACTGAGGAAGAAGTTATGATTATTTTTCTAGAGTATGCCAACTGCAATCGGGAAAAATGACATCTTTGTGTCTTTTGGTATTTCTAAATGCTTTACTTGTTTAATTAGTCTATGTTCGAAGTAACAATATTGTTATGAGATGATAAGGTCATGATTTATGTACTGTCAATTTGATATTCACATTGCAAGTTTCACTTGATTAAGATGTTTAAATTGATATGTGGGGATGAGATAGAGAGAGAGTGCTGACATTTAAGAGATACAAAAATTAGTGTACGAATTTTAGGTTGAATTTTAGGTTGAATTTTATTTGGTATTGCATTAAAGTTGTTCATTATTTCGCGCTTGCAGGTGATCGAGTCCAAGAAGAATTTCGTGAAGAATGGTGGTCTAGTTTGAAAAGGACAAGTGACAACCAATTGTTGCATTGAAAGAGCCTAGAAAGATCAGCAATCATTTCTAATATGTGTTTCATTCATTTCCACCACTTCCATTTTAATTGTTTTGAGTACATGAATTGGTGATCTTCCATCATTTTCTTTTATCTATTATTTCTTTCTTCAAGAGTATTGTCCTAATATCAGATGTAAAAATTAGAGATTCTTGTTTGGTTGATATGAATACTATTTGTAAATAGGTGTATAAGAAGTATTAACATTGGTCCCTGGCCAAATGAAGTGTGGTCAATCTCAATCTTAGACAAATTCTGTCTTTTGATACCAAGTAAAAAAATTAACATTTTTCAGTGAAAAAAAGAAGAAAATAATCAAATAATAACTAGCTCTGTTTCTTGCAACCAAAAAAATCATCAAGGCAAACAAAACTGATACATAACTGATATTCCAATAAGTTTCGTTATGTTGAATCAAAAAGAACAAACATGAAAACTAAACCTGCGTAATGTATAAGTTCATGAACAATAAGGCATATACTAAAAAGTAAAAACAAACCAGGCCAAAAAACATTCAAGAACAATGATCAAACACATCATCCGCCCACGGTTTAATCTCATCGTTAATTAAAAATGGAATAAAAAACAAGTTAAAACTCTGATAAAATGCTACCTACTATTACATAAGTTTTTTTCAATAATAATAAAAATAAATAAATAACCAAACTTGCAACTTTCTCTCAAGTTTAAAGGAGCACGTGAAACTGGACGAGGACGATCAATACCCCTGAATATACGGAAACCCAAAAACTTTGCACGCATGGCACATATAATTTTTTTCCCAAAATCCTCCTCGAAATGCAATGTGAATGGAAAACATGATTGCACAAAGGGAGCACCGATATATAAGTCCGCAAAATCGGTATCACAAACCAGCATAATCTTCAATCCGGGGCGGCTTTGTTGCATATACGGAGGAAAAGTAGGATACACGATGTGGGGTTTCTATGGCCATGTGGCGGACTTAGATAGGACAATGATGTTGGACTAGCGTGGTAAGGAGCAGGGCTTGGGAAAGCCGAAGAATTTGGGCTCGATTGGATTGATGGAACATGAGCTGATGTTTGTTGAGCTCATTGGAGTATCGGCTGGCGGTGGTTCATGGCCCTGAGAAAGTGAAAATGTATGCATGCATCAGAGTTGTATCGGAAAAGTTTTCATATGTACACGGAAACACGTAGTTTGCAGAAGTTGTATATTTCTTAAAAAATGGACCAAAAAAGGAACCATTTTTCACAAATTATAAACAAGACAACTATGAGCATTTATATATGTCAGGAAATGTAAACATCTGATTGTACTTAACTGCAAATCACATCATAAAAAATAAGAAAATGCCTAACTACATTCATGAAACATAATAAATACATTGATCAAATAATAGAGCAGCCAACAAAACAAAAACACAAAAAAAAAAAACACAATTAAAAGGAAAATTAGGCAATAATTTTAAAAGCTTTCAAAGCTCATTCGCACGAACTATATCAAGATTTAAGTAAAATCCAAAAGAATAGCAAAGAAAAGAAACACAAAACACAAATGGTCTTATTTTCATGGATTCAATTTTCTAATTAAGTTTTAAATCCAAATCTGAAAACTAAATTTAAAAAATTGAAAAAAAAATCCAAAATATACCCCATATTTGCCGCTTTTGCGTCTTTATCGCTCTCAGATCGATATCCCATACGGAATTCTCTCATCCGTCGCCGTTCAACCTACCACAACCATCGATTTCATTCCTTCGACCACAATTCGCGATAACAACGCTAAGGAAAAAAATTAAAAAAATTCGTAACGCCAGGGAGAGATCTGCCATAAATTAAAACTCTAATTATCTCGACGGAGTTCGCCATGAGGGGAGATGGAACCCACAAAAAAAATCATGTATTGCGTCTCTATCTATGTGTGAAAGAAGATTGGTCATGGAAAAAGTGGATGATCTTTTTTCTTTGTTAAGACTTCGTGCAATTGTCTTAATTGATTATGATTTTTATATTTAATAATATTTTAATTTATTGATTTGAATTTATAAGGTTAATACTGTAATTTACATAAAGTACGATCTGTGTACGATGGTGAACGATGTGTTTTTACTAGGTTCGTACATTAATTTTTAAATTTCTAGTGTCGTACTGGGTCGTACATATGTCGTACATAAAATTAATGGCTAAGATTAAAACTTAGATGTTTTGTACGCACCAGATTAAATGTTTTACGGTCCGAGAAGTACAAACCTCTCGGACCCTAGACAACCCCAAGTATTATTTGTAACGTTTTCCCCCTCAATCTCAATTTAATTTGTATTTGAAATACTAATAGTATACATTAAAGTTTCCTTCTTTATTTAAAGAAATAACTAAAAGAATAATTAAATTATACAAATAAAAATATCTATTGACAAATGCAGTAATTAAAATTTTAAAAATATTATGTGTTGGGTACATATTGAATAAGTAACATCTAATTGTTATTGGAACAAGTAATCAAATATATTCATATCGATAATTACAAAATCAATACATAATTAATAGTAATCTTAAGTATTCAAATATATTTTAGTTCATTAATTTCATAAATTATATTTCCATTCATTAGTATACAACATATATTACTTTTTATTTTTTTTTTCAATAATTTAATTTTTTAGTTACTTCTCAATTTTTTATGATCGAATAATTATTAGATTGTTATATTTATTAGTTTTTATATTTTAAAATATAAAATAATTGATGTTGAGGGTTAAGTATTACGTAGGCTATACTTTAGGGGTGCAAAGTGTATTTAACCCTTTATTTTATGGGCGAAAAATTCCCATCACATGTGACTTAAATGCATATTGGTCCACGAAAAAAAAAAACCAGTCTCTCAATTAAACTCTTCCCCATGTCTTTAGTCTAAAATACCCTCCATAATATAATTCTTATCAATTTCATCCATTATGCTCTAACTTTCTTAATATTACACATTGACCCCGGATTTAAATAAATATATCACATCACC